GACATTTCGCTAAGGGCATTCGTGCTTTTAATATAGTATATATATATATATATATATATATATATATATATATATATATATATATATATATATATATATATATATTATTTTATTTTTTAAATAAACCAAGAGATGCTTAATGCAGAGGCAGACTACACTAAAACCTCTATGAAATACTATATGAGGGAATATTAATATACTCTCAAGTCTCTGTATCATAACTTGTGTTGGTCAAACCACGACGTCCATTTGAACAATCTCATGCGGAGAGAAGGGCAGTCTGGTGCACTAAGCTTGTGCTATGCGTGAGGTAAGAGGCGGACCTATGTATAGCGTTGAGGGGTCACCGGACCCCGCAAACTTCAGCAGAAATCTTGTATATGTTTATGTGTATACCTTGAAAATGATTATATAAATAACTTGGCACCCTCATGAACACTAAAAGTCTTTAGGGGCACTGGTCGAGCAAAATATTGGTGCCCCTCTCGCGTTAAAATCCTAGGTCCGCCTCTGCGTGAGGTGCGGGGAAGGGCCGGATCACAAGGGTGTATTGTACGCAGTCTCACCTTACATTTCTGCTAGAGGCTGTTTCCATGGCTCGAACCTGTGACCTCTTGGTCACCCTTCATGCGGAGAGAACCCTCTTCGGAAAATAATTGATACACTTGAGTTCATCTATGAAGTCATTTTGTAACAAAGACGAGATTTTGTTTTGATCATCTTGTATTAATGTTTGAATTCTTTTGGTATCAAATGATGTTTGCAGGGCAACTGGTGACAAGGATGTTAAATTGAAGGTTCTTTATTGTGGTATTTGTCACTCTGATATTCATCAGTTGAAGAATGAATGGGGATCTTCTCTATATCCTCTGGTCCCTGGGTATGGTCTCAATTTTAGATTCTTGATTATTAGTAAGGTGTCATTTACACTTACATGAAAAAGATAGTCATTTGTTTAAATTTAATAGTTGTTGCCTAAGTGTTTTGGCTCAACTTAGGATCATTGCTTGCAATTTGCAATCTTTAAATGCAATAGCTCTATTTGCTTTTCATATTAAAAGTTTGAGTTCTAAACTCTTAGGGGTCATTTGGTTTGAAGACAAGTTATGCTGGGATTAGTTATGTTGGGATTAGTTATACTGAGATTAGTTATGCTGGAATTAGTTATGCTAGGACTACTTATCCCGGTATTATTTCTTATTGACTATTTGGTATGTTGTATTAATTCTGGGGTTATCAATTTTACTACTTTCTCCTGGGATTATTATTTCACCCTCTTGTATAAGTTATCCCGGTACTATTTTTAATCTTAGGATAACTTATCCCAAAACTAGTAACCAAACAAGGGATAAGGCGGTACTAAGGTTTTATTCTAGGATTATTTTTGCTTATCCATCGTACCAAACAACCCCTTAGAGTTATTTGATGGATTCAGACATGAGATCGTGGGCGAAGTAACTGAGGTTGGTAGCAAGGTAGAGAAGTTCAAAGTCGGGGAGAAAGTTGCTGTGGGAGGGTATTGTGGATCATGTCGATCTTGTGAAAACTGCACCAACGATCTTGAGAACTATTGTTCCAAGGGAATAGCCACCTACAATGCAATGTACCACGATGGAACATCAACTTATGGAGGCTACTCGAACATGATTGTTGTCGATGAACATTTCGTCTTTCATGTCCCAGAAAACTTGCCCCTAGCTGCTGCAGCCCCTCTCCTTTGTGCTGGAATTACAATGTACAGCCCGTTGAGATACTTTGGATTAGACAAACCAGGTCTTCACATTGGTGTAGTAGGTCTAGGGGGGCTTGGTCATGTTGGTGTCAAGTTTGCCAAGGCCATGGGGCTAAAGGTAACAGTAATTAGTACATCTAAAAATAAACAGAAGGAAGCTCTTGAGCGCCTCAGTGCTGATTCGTTTTTGGTCAGCACGGATCAGGATCAGCTGCAGGTAATTACTTGTAATCTTGAAATCTTTACTTCAACCATCTATTGTCATAGAATAACATTTTGGTTCTCGACATTGTTTCCTATATCCATAGGCTGCTATGGGCACAATGGATGGCATTCTTGACACAGTCTCCGCGGATCATTCCATACATCCATTGATTGGGCTATTGAAGTCTCATGGGAAGCTTATATTTCTTGGTGCACCTGAAAAACCTGTCGAGC